CTGCCCTCTCAGGCCTCCTGCCAGGGAAGAAGGATGGCTGGCTGGCCACACAGCCTGATGGAGGAGAGCCCCTCTCCTCAAAGGAAAGGCGGTACAGACCTTCTCTGAGGGAAGGGCTTCTAACGACGAATGGAGATCTGAGTTTGATGGGCCAGCTAGAGCACAGCCCCCACCAGTGTCCCCTCTAAGATGAGTTAGTGTGAGCCAGCCCACAGATTTTTAGCCTCCAGCTCACACATTTTTGTCTTAGCTCAGGAAGGAGGGCTCCGGAGCAAACTAAATTTATGCAGCAGCCAGATCGCTCGCTCCCAACTTTAATGCCAGGAGCTCGCAAACCAGAATTTTTGCTCACATGACTCCACAGCTTAGAGGGAACATTGGCCCCCACCCCAAGAGGCCTGAGTTGAGAAGCTTGTGGTGGACTGGAACTTGACTTCTCAGATAGCTCCGTGCCCTTTAGAAAAATAGAACTCTCTGGCCTGTGAGGGCTGTTCCCTATCACAGCTTAGGCTATTTCTTCCCACTCTATGCTGCTTCCATCTTCACAAGCCAGAGTACATAGAGGGCTGGGGAGACGGGCTGACCATCAGCCCACAGGTATGGCCGCAGATCACCCATGTTAGGGTTGCTCGTGCCCTGAGCTGCATGGCCCGCCCCGCCTAGCCTGATCTCATCTGATCTGGGAAGCTCAACAGGATGAGCCCTGGTTAGTGCTTAAACGGGAGACCAGCAAAGAGGTCCAAGGATGCGGCTCAGAGGCAGGCAATGGCAAACCTACTTTGTTCATCTCTTGTCTTGGGAACCCCATTGTAAGCATGCCGACCCCCCTGTCTCCCAAGGGGGGTCATTTCAACCAGCTGTCGGTTAACACCACCATAAGGAAGGCCAGATAATGAAACTGAAGCTCAAATCCTTTGGCCACCCAATGAGAAGGGAGCACTCACTGGAGAAGACCCTGATGCTGGGAAAGACTGAAGGTCAAAGAAGACGGGGACGGCAAAGGATGAGATGGTTAGACTGTCATCGATGCAACGAACATGAAGTTGAGCAAGCTTCAGAGGACAGCAGAAGACAGGAGGGCCTGGCGGGATCTGGTCCATGGGGTCACAGAAGAGTCGGACTCGACTGTGCGACTGAACAACAACAAAGGATTGCTGTGGAGTTACAGTGCTGGAATGTGTGGGCTGTGCACTTGCGCCTCACCACCCTGCTTTCCCCTGTTCCCTTGTTATCTGGTTTTGGCCTTGAGCGCCTGGTTCACCTGGCTCCGCTCCTTAACAGCCTCCCGCCCTTGCCTAGTCCGTTCGCTTTTCCCCGCGCTTACAGGCGTTTGCTTATTGGCTTCTACTGATCAGGGGGTCTTGTATGATTGAGGTATAACTGTTTTACCCGCACATTTTGGGTTATTCCTGACACACGAGTTCATGGAGTGTCCTTTACTCTGATCAATAAACTGAACCTACTTAAGGTCCTGTGTGTTGGTGCTGAGTTCTTGGAATACCTGACACCAGCAATGGACATCGTAGGGGTGCCCCAGGAGTCCAAATACCAGGCATCTTGATATGTGGACACAAAGACAGACACAAAAAAAAAGGGGGGGGGAATTGAACCTAAAACCTAGAATTCAGAACCTAAAAAGGTTAGTCAAGAATGGAAGAGGGCCAACTCTAAAAATCTAATTATGAAACACACAAAAATATACATGTATTTATTAAACACAAATTAAAATCACAAATACGGGCCCATTCATACCTCATATACAAATATAAAAATACAAAGGCTGATAAAATAGACCTAATGCGTTTCAGCCTACACAGGCCTTCCTCAGAGGTCTAATGCAAATAGAACATGTTGGCTAATCATACATATACAAAATATGAGATAAAGACCAGAAAACAAATGTTCCAAAGTTTAACTACTGGGCAAAAATACAAATGAAACCTCCAGTGCAATCACATGTCCAGTAGTACTTCTCTCTGGTCAACTATACATTCTCCTGAGATTGTATAGCCAAATGTTCCCACTGAAATATTCCTTAAGTTAAAAGCAGTGTTGCTCAAAAAAGTGTTGGACCTATATAGTAGATTCAGGATTATACAATCCTTAAAGGATGATGTAAGGCCTGAGGTAGGAAAATATGGGAATATGGGAATAGCCTTTTTTCCTTACTGTCTTATTATACTGAGTACAGGATTATTGTCTCTGGGCGTCTGTATGACGGGGTGGTGGTGGTGATGAAGATAAAACTGGTTCATGAACTATAAAAAGTGAGGCAATTCTGTGGTCCTGGATTGTACGTCAAGCACACAAATGCTCCCATAATTTCAGATCAAGGTATCTGAGAAGCCAGGATGTGGATCCTGTGGATTCCGAGATGCCTTTGGAGATTCACAGGGAGTCTCCAGTATGTGAGTGGTGTGGTTGTTAGTGTGTGCAGAGTTTAAATCTCCACTTTGCCACAAAGCACGTGATGTGCCCTTGGTCCAGTCACACACTCAGGCTGGGTTGTGGGGGGAAAGAGAGAGGGGGGGAGCGGAGGAGGTATTCCCTTTCATACATGAAGTATTTCCGCAAATTGTCTCAGTGAAGGAGTTCATGACATCTCCCCTCTCACAGGGTCCTCTTTCTTTGACCGAGAGTCAGAGTATTATGAGTGAATAAAACTTCTTCAGATACAGTGAAACAGAATGTCCTCAGCCACATATATAGGTAGAAAGGGTTGGTTTAGTACCATTCCATATAGCAGTGGTGGCAAACCTATGGCACGGGTGCCAGAGGTGGCACTCAGAGCCCTCTCTGTGGGCACGCGTGCCATTGCCCCAGCCAGGCCCAGACCATCATTAAAGTGTGGAATTCTCTGCCAAATAATTTTAAGTAAATGAAAGCATTTGGGATTGCTTTCCTTACTTTGTTTGGATCATCTTAAGTTAATGTATGAGTTTTTTTCTAAAGTAAAACCTGAGTATTCAGGTTAAATTGCCGTGTTGGCACTTTGCGATAAATAAGTGGGGTTTGGGTGGCAGTTTGGGCACTCGGTCTCTAAAAGGTTTGCCATCACTGCCATATAGGTAGAAAGGGTTGGTTTTTGTAATGTATCCAGGCTGACATGTCTGGACTTGCCCGGACTGGCCAGGCACAAACCTCACTAGCTTCATGCCAAAAGACAATGGGCCAGTAGGATCGTAGCCAGGTTCAATGAAAGGGCTCGGTCCCCAGCTGGGAGGCCAATAGGTCTCTCGGTTACTGTAAATAGCCTATGGGGAGTGGGGTGTGTGTTTAGGTGTGCTTGGTGGCGGGTTTTCTGAACTAAGCCGGCCTGCCAGCCGGTCAGTTGTCTTTGTTCCTGACTAAATAAAGGTATGCTTAGCTGAAATCACTCTCCCGTGGTCTGCATACTTTTCAGTTTTGTAGCCAGGAAGGGCTGGTTAGAGTCAAGGGGCAGAAGGAACTGGGGATCAGCGTAGCTGAGATTGGACTGAAGCAGGGCAGACCTAAGCAGTTAAAGCGACAATTCAAAACAGCAACAGAATAGTTTAAAAAGAAAAGAAAAGCCAAGTAGCAACCAACAAGAGCCGCCAGATCCCACAAATCCCCCCACCCTTTTCCCTCCAGGCCTCTCCTGTTCGCTCCTCCCAAGGAACGGACCCCCCCCCTTCCACGGAAGTCTCACCACCCCCACCCCAGATCACGTGCTGGGGAGTGCGGCGAATCGCATGGCTCTTCCCTACGCGTGTCTCCCCCCCCCTTGCGCCCGAATCT